AGATTTCCTCTGTTGTTGAATTTGAGGAAATGGCTACTTTATTTTTTTGACAAATGACAGATATGACCGGAAGTATAACATCTAATTTGATTGGTTTTTACCCTCACTCGGCCATAACTTGGAAAATTTTCAAATTAGAAAAAGTTTCGGAATGGAGATTACAAAAATCCTGAATGCAAAAGGAGAATACGCAAACAGGAAATAAAAGTGAGTAGGCGTTTTTTTTTTCTTCTTCTCAGTAGCGCCACCTGATGTTTACGTATCAAATTGATTAATTGAAAAAAGTCAACTGCAAGCAAATTGAGTATATTTCTCCATTGATGCCCACACACAATTTTCTGGAAAACTACTAGAAAAACCCACACGAAAAGTTATATTTTTCACAAATTGGCTCGCCCACACTAGTCCATTGTGTTGGCTAAAGACAAATTCGGCCGCTAGATGTCGAACCAAATTCAATTATCCTCTATTCTTTTATGCGCCCGACATTTTGATAAATTACTGGGTTTTCCTCCGGCGACATTTATTCTCCGCACAAAAACATCTTCGTCTCTAGAGTTATTAGGGTAATTAACGAGCGAATCCATAAATCTTTGGTCTTAATTAGACTCGTAAAGTGGTTTGCAAACCGGCGCCATTTTGAATTTAAATTCAAATTTTGACAATTGACAACAACGCCATTTGACAAAAATATACCAAAAACTATAAATTATTCAAATAACATTGTATATAGAATAAATATTTATGAATCCTTATCATTTGTGTTAATATAAACAAAACAGGCAAAAGCATTTCTACCTCAAGTGGGAATAAAATCAGTTTTTGTTCGCTCGCAATACCAACATGCCTCAGTATCGTACGGAAATTGTGATCGGTTATAAGCCAATAGTGACGTATTTTCAATTTGAAAAAGGTAAAAATTGAATCTAAGCTTTAAAATTTCAGTTTTAAACTCCATTACACGAGAGAGGCTGTGGTTAAATTTAATTAAAATTCTCGGCTAGTGGAGAGACGATAAAAGAAAATTAGTATTGTTTGGTTTTCCCGTCTGGGAAGCGGAAGTTTTTCCTGCTTTTACCTGGACTTAGAAAAATGAATTATTTATGAGCACTTTTCTTTAATACACCCCTGTGTCTTGTCTAATAATCATGGCCTACTTTATATAGAAATATTTGACTTTTTCAGAAAGTTTATTTGTCTCTTTTTAATATTTGTTGATTGAAAAAGGACGAAGATAAACAATTTAATTGAAACTTCATAATTTGAGTTGTTTTCTCGTGTTCACTTTTTTAAAACTGGTTTGAAACTTCATATTCCCGCAATGAACTCATGACGTCACATCAAAATTGGTTCAAACCGTTTCGAAATAAAATCAATTTTCTCGCGCCAAGAAGTTATGACGTCATGTGACACTGTTTTAAACCAGGTTTGAAAAACGTTTTAAAACATTTGAAACGCGAGAAAACACCTTCTGGTTGATGTTAGGAAATGCCTATTTTTTAGACAGTTGTACATGCATGGACTTTGAGACAGTACATTTTCGCAATGGATCCATGACGTCACATTAAAATTGGTTCAAACCGTTTCGAAATACAATCCAATCCACGTTTTGAAACCATTTTTCTCGCGCCGAGAAATTATGACGTCACGTGACACTCTTTTAAACCAGGTTTGAAAAATGTTTTACAACATTTGAGACGCAACAAAACACCTCTGGTTGATGTTAAGAAATGCCTATTTTTTGGGCAGTTGTATAATTGATAGAATATTCTTTTCAGAAAGTCTATTTGTCTCTCTCCAATATTGTTGATTAAAAAAGGACGGAGATAAACGATTTAATTGAAACTTCATAAGAAGAATATAATTTGCGGTTGATGTTAGGAAACGTCTATTTTTCAGACAGTTGAGCAACTTGATTAAATATTTTGCCAGAAAGTTTATTTGTCTCTTTTCAAAATCATTGATTAAAAAAGGACGTAGATAAACTAAATAAAACTCTTGAAAATCAATCAAAGTTTTTCCTACTTTTACCTCTGGACTTAGCAAAATTAATTATTTATGATTACGAAACGACATCTTTACTTATTATGCTCCTGTGTCTTGTCTAATAACCATGGCCTACTTCATATAGAACTATTTGACAGTAGAGCTGACTTTTCTAGAAAGTTTATCTATCTCTTTTCATTATTGTTGTTTGAAAAAGGACGAAGATAAACAATTTAGTTAAAACTTGATAAGAAGAGTAGGCATGATTTTGCAGTTGATGTTAGGAAACGCCTATTTTTTAGACAGTTATTGCATGGCCAACTTAAGGCCCGGTTGTACAACTCTTGTTGTAACTCTTTTTTGGGTTATTCTAACCTCACTCTCCTGTTTTGTTTGTGTTTTGATGAAGGATCACCTTGACAACTTGTTCTGGAGATTTGGAGAACAAACATTAATTTATAACCAAAAGTGTCATTATTTTGACATTTTCCGACAAGTCTTTAACTTAAAAAGCTTCAAATTTGACAAGAAAATGATTGACGTCATACTTGAATGGTCAGTTGTAAATGCAAGGCCAACTTAATAACATTTTTTGTCAGAAAGTTTATTTGTCTCTTTCCAATATTATTGATTGAAAAAGGACGAAGATAAACAATTCAATTAGTTAATGAAGGAAAGGCCGGCGATGTTTGATAAAATTGGGTTTTATTAATTAATTCACTTTATTTCCATGAAACTGACAGTAACGACTAACGTGTATGTTAATATGGCACATGACTGTTCTTCTCTAAGATTCTAGAAAAACCTAGGACTGTGTCAATGTCTGGAAATGTCATTCATAAATGTCATTTCTGTCATATCACAAGGAGAATACACACTCTAAGTAGTGCTTACCCAAGAATCGCCGCCATATTGGTGTGTCACTATTTCCGACGTCATAACTGAATAGCCAGGTGTTTAAACAGCCAACGTCAAGGCGAAAAATAACATGCTGCCTACGTCACAACTAGTATTTCGGCGGGGGGGGGGGGGAAATACCATTGTAAATGAGAATATTTGTGTCATTTTTTACTGTCTATCTTTAACTCAATATTAGAAAAGGACAAATACAATCCTCTACCAAGTTGACCTTTCATTTGCAAATGTCAAAAAAATGGACGCTTCCTAACATTCACCAAATCAAACCGTTATACAAAGAAAATAAACATTTTACCAAGTAGGCCAATGAACTGATGACAAGGACTAAGGAGTTGTCCATTTATAATTTGACAAAAATGACAGTTCAAAAGCCGAGGATAAATAAAAGATTATTAAAAAAAACTTTAACCTTCAATTAGTATTTGTGTAACCCAAAATACCAAAATATTCCGGTAAACCTTTTATCAAGTAGGCCATGTATTTCTGCAACCAACTGTCAAAAAATGGGCGCTTCCTAAAATTCACTAGAAATACCGTTGTAAGTCAAAATATCTCTGTCATTCTCTACTGTCTATCTATAATTCAATATTAGAAGAGGACAAATACAATCCTCTACCAAGTTGACCTTACATTTGCAAATGTCAAAAAAATGGGCGCTACCTAAGATTCACCAAATCAAACCAGTATACGAAAAAATTAAACATTTTACCAAGTAGGCCAATGAACCGATGACAAGCAGTTATCCATTTATAATTTGACAGAAATGACAGTTCAAGAGCCGGGGATAAATAAAAAATTATTTAAAAAAAAAAAGCTTTTTTACCCTCAGATTTCTATGAGGAATAGGCCATTCTGTAGTAGTAGTGTGTATCATCCTTGGTACTTATCAGCCTGGTTTTTGGTAATAGCCGCCATATTGGTGTAATACCATTTCCGACGTCATAATTAGGTCGTCAGCTGTTTAACCAGCCTACGTCAGGGCGAGAAATAACATGCTGCCTACGTCACAATGGGTGTTTTGGCGTGGGGGATTTGTTACACATAGGCCTTATGAGGATAGGCCATTCTGTAGTAATAGTGTGTATCATCCTTGACAGGACACAGGGTTGTCTCGACTCGTTACAAGGTCACTGCATAACTGATAAATGCAGGCCACTGGTAATTATTCAATATGTTAAAGTTAGGAATTGCTCGAGGATAACACACACTATTACTACTACTACAGGATAGCCTATCCTCATAAGGCCTGTGTAGAACAAATTTCACCCTTCCCCCCAGGCCAAATCATCAGTTGTGGCGTAGGCAGCATATTATTTCTCGCCTTGACGTAGGCTGTTTAAACAGCTGATGATGATGGAAATGGTGACACACCAATATGGCGGCGATTACCAAAAACGAGACCGATGAGCAATCCTGCAGGTGTGTATCATCTTTGGGAATTGCTTACATTGAAAACTGTTAATTTAAAAAAATTAAAAGTACACTAATAGATGGCGCTTGCTACCCGCAATTTCTAAGCCTACTAGACTTATGAATTAACTTCAGACGAATCACTTTTGCACAACTGTCAATTTTTTTTTTTTAAATAGAAAACCGTTGAAAATGCAATTGCAAACACTTTTCGCTTACATCGCTCCACTTCGCATATAAAAAGTTGGGGAGTTACGTTCCCCGAAAGTCCCATTTACACCGAGTCGAAAGAGAGTTTTGCTTGTTTGTCTGGGGAATCGACCCGTTTTCGTCTCCGCTCGTCGTAAAACGTTTCAACGCAATTGGCGGAGAAAAAACAAAAAAACAGACAATTTGTCATAATGTCAATTATTGTATTTTATTACGTTTTTAACTGTCAACTGTCAATCCATGAATTATTTATCTGGTTGGTTGACGTAAGCATAATTTTTGATTAAAAACTAGAAACGTCTTCGATAAAATCCCAATAGTCCCAGAAAGCAATTTATTTGGCGGCAAGGATATTACATTTGAGTTTGTTTTTCGGCTTTACTTGAAAGTGGCTCCATCTTGAGGCGCGAGATTAATCAAAATGTCACTGAATTACATATGGCCTACTATTATGTTGACAATTGACATTGTTTCAGGTGAAGTGTCGCAATCTGACAGCGAAATGGAGCGGCAACAGGAAAAAGAAAAGACTGATCAGAGCCAACAGACTACGCCTACTACGCCTCCTTGTTCCGGTAAGAATGTCGTCTCTGTCACTCGTTAATACTTTAATTAAAACTTATGAATCAAATTTCGTAGTAGGTACTTGATATAAAACTATATGAAAATTGAATTTCCCATTAAACCCCGAGCGAAATTCGCCCGGGAAAATTTATTTCCCCCGGAGTGCGCTGTTGCTTGGGGTAATTCAGTTTTACGACTAATTAAGTATTAAGCCCGCGAATTTAAACAAGAGGAGGGATGAAAATTGGATAAAACTTGTCAAGTATCAAAAATGTCTGCCTCATTTTTATACTGAACGCACCCTCTCAAATATAGGTGTTTTCGGAAATCCTAAAACTTGGCAATTGACCTGTCAAACTAAATTCAATATGGCCGTTCAGGTCAAACACCGTGTTGTTTATATTGGGTTACTAATAAAAATCAATAAAAAATTATTTATTTTGTCACAGTTTGGGGGCTTTGCGTACACGCAAATGACGTCATTTGGAATTGAAAATTGCTGCACGGTTTATTTGACATGTACTTTTTCAACCGAAAATGACGTCATTTGTGTCATATATATCAAACCTCGTGAAGTTGGCCACAAGTAGTAATGCCACAATAAAACTTTCAGAAAAAGTATTTTAAAGGGGATTTTGCTAATTATGGCATTTAAAAGTGGAAAATTTTACTAGGAAATGAAGAAAACTTGAAGCCTCGTATTTTAAATCAGTTTTCCCGCTCGAAAACGGCCTGGAAAAGCGGAAAATTCAAAGAAAAACTAGCCAAAATAACATTGCAAAACCTACTTGATAAAACTTAAGTTTTCATTACTTACCCCCTTAGAAAACTGGAAATTTTTTGCGGAAAATGAAGGATATTCAAAGCCTCGTATTTTAAACCAGTTTTCCCGACTGGAAAAGCGGAAAATTCGTGGAAAAACTGGATAAAATATAAACACGTCAATTAAAAAATGGCCGACTGTTAAAAGAAAAGTGGCAAATGACATTTCATTAGAAGGACTACTTAATTGAAAGCGATGTTGCCACATCTCAAATAGGAAAAAAAATCATTTTCTTACCTTATTGAAAACTGGGAATTTTTCGTACAAAATGTAAGAAATCCAAAGCCTCATATTTTAAATTGGTTTTCCCGACTGAAAAAACTCTGAAAAATCGGAAAATTCGAGGAAAAACTGGATAAAAATGTCCGACTGTCAAAATTGGCAAAAATTACATTAGTACAAGGCCTACTGGTCTAAAAACTGCTAGAAAATAAAGAAAATTCAAAGCCTCGTATTTTAAATCAGTTTTCCCGCTCGAAAACGGCTTGGAAAAGCGGAAAATTCAAAGAAAAACTAGCCAAAATAACATTGCAAAACCTACTTGATAAAACTTAAGTTTTCATTACTTACCCCCTTGAAAAACTGGAAATTTTTTGCGGAAAATGAAGTCTCGTATTTTAAACCAGTTTTCCCGATGGAAAACGGCCTGGAAAATCGGAAAATTAGAGAAAAAACTAGATAAAAATGTAAACACGTCAATTAAAAAAATAGCCGACTGTCAAAAGAAAAAGTGGCAAATGACATTTCATTATGTCTACTTGATTGAAAGCGACGTTGCCACATCTCAAATAGGAAAAAAATAGATTTTAAATGGTTTTTTGTCTTTAATTTAATTAAATAATGAATTAATAATGTCTATAAAATGGTAAGTTCCCAAAATAATCCAATGGAAACCTATTTTTAATAAAATTTAATGGATATAACATAAGGCCTGTCTGATAGTGAGTAGGACAAAGAAGGAGATAAAGTAGGACATAATTTAGGCCTAAAAATGGAAGTTTTTGGTAAAAAAATGAAGCAAACTTAAAAATCTGCCTTTAAAACTACCTTTTACCGACAAAAAAAGCGGAAAATAGGAAGAAAAACCAACATTCCAAAGCCTACTTGATAAACCTAAAGTTTTTCTGCCTCGTATTTTAAATCGGTTTTCACGATTGGAAAAACCCTGAAAAATCGGAAAACTCGAGGAAAAATTGGATAAAAATGTAAACACGTCAATTAAAAATAGTCGACTGTCAAAATTGACAAAAATGACATTATTACAAAGTTACTAGTCTTGCATCCAGTATTTTGCTCGAAGAGCAGAGCCGTAATCACGTGACCAGCGAGTGTACAGAGCAGTTAAACGTTATATCATTCTACAACAACAAGGGCTACGGGGACTTTATTTAAAATTGATGCAACTCTGCGTACACGCAAATGACGTCATTTGCGATTGAAAATTGATGCACGGCTTATTTGACATACACTTCTTCAATCGCAGATGACGTCATCTGCGTCATATTTACGTCTGGCAAAGTTGCATTAATTTCAAATTAAGCCCCCCAGAATACAAATGCTTTTTACGAACGTCACCACAATATTTGACCTTCACGGCCATATTGAATCACAAGTGATTGCCTAATTAGATTATTTGCTGTCTCTTTCCAACATTATAGAAACAATTGTTTGTCCTCTAGAAAATCAAAACTACAACATCCACCAGCCAGTGACGTCATCTAGAGCGCCCCAATTACCCACCGAAGACGACCTCAAACAAACATCCAATTTACCTCAAAACCAAGGCTCGCCAATCAGCGGCATCCTCAAAGGAGGCCGGCTCTGGAAACAGGAAACTAAAAATTTCGATTCAAATATCGTGGTAAGAATTCGTCCGTGTAAATGACAGTTGATACATTTGTTTTCCAGTCGTCAGATTCGATGACGTCAGACGACGAATCAAACAACAAGCGCTCAGTGCGGTTTATCGAGTCGGAACGTGCAATCTGCGATGGTGCGCCCGAGAGCAGTCCAGATGAGGAACTGCCCAAAGAGTCACCGAAACGCGAAACTTACATCGGTGCTACGTCACCTGACGTCACGCCCCCCGAAATGACGTTGACATTTAAGCTAGGCAATCACGTGCTGATTTCTAATAACAGCTTAAAACCGAACTCTGCTGTGCGGCAATTGTTCCCTTGCACCAAAAATCTAGGGGAAGAAGAGAAAAATAATCAACAGGTAATTTTTTTTTTTTTTAATTGACAAGTGACAATTCCATGGCCTACTAATTCTTTCAGTATCTGGTCACTTCGGAATCGTTGCGTGCGTTCGAAGAAGCCAAACGCGCCAAACTGCCTCAGATAATCCAGAGTGGCGAAACTGATGATACGATTAAACGAGCGATTGAACGCAACACGCTGCGTCGATCTTTGATCCGGTACGAGCCGCGCAGCAAAAAGCAGCCGTACAAAAGCGACAATTCACTGGTGGAACGGATCAAGCAGTTGACTTGTGACGTCGACACCGGTGCTGCTAATAGAACAGGTAAAAATGTTCTCTCCACACACACGTTTTTATATTAATTAATATTCATTGCGTATGTGGGTATGAAGGAATGTGAATGAGTAAACATCGACATTGATTTGTGTTTTCTTGTTTTAGATCAAAATCAAGGTTCTTTGGAATCGGGTGAAGTTGGCGATGACGTTTTGGACATTAGCAGATCGAGTCCGCCAGGTGAAGAAGCACGAAATTCACCAGATGTCAACTCGTTAAGTGCCAACAAACCTCCGGACAAGAGTTTTTCGCCTTCGTCTTCCAGTACGACTTCGAGCAGTTCGATGTCGGCCAATCAAAATTATCAGCAGGCAAGGAAGTTGTCAGGTGCAAACGACCATCAAACCCTAATGGTGGACTTGAAACGGGCCGAAACGGTGCCGGATATTCAGAACAATTACCGAAGGGAGATGAAACCTTTGCCCGATATTGGTAAGTGACAACTATTAATTATAAAATTTATCAATCCCTGCTTTACCGACATCGATTTATATGGCCTACTAAGATTGACGTTTTATGCATTAAATTGTCAAATTCGACGTTACAAGGCCTACTTGTTAACTATGTTTTATCGACTTCTATCGTGTTTAGAAAGTTTATTTGTCTCTTTTCAATATTGTCAATAATTTAAAAATGACAAAGATAAACGATTTAATTTAAACTTTATAAAATTTGCAATTGATGTTAGGGAACGCCTATTTTTTATACAGTTTCATGATTGCCAAGGATGATACACACTACTATTACATGATAGTCTATCCTCATAAGGCCTGCGTGGAATAAATTCTCCTTCGCTCCTTGCTGCCATATCACCAGTTTTGACGTAAGCAGCATGTTATTTCTCATCTTGACGTAGGCTATTCAAACAGCTGATGACTAAGGCCGTGTTTATGTTGGAGCTGTGATAAACGATAAAAGCAACGATACTAATGATACCTCAATGATACTATATACATTAGTATCGTTGCTTTTATCGAGTATCACAGCTCCAACATAAACCCGACTTTAGTTATGACGTAGGCAATGGTGGCACACCAATATGGCGGCAATTAACAAAAGCCAGGCTGATAAGCAATCCTATAGGTGTGTATCATCCTAGCACTAATAGATGGCGTTTTACTGTCATTGGATTTTACGTGACTGGCCGAGTTCGTTTTTGTCGTCGATTTGCTACGAAATTTTGACAGGCATGTGATTTGTAAACTGAAACTATCCTATCCAGTCACGTGCCTGTCAAAATTTCAGAGCAAATCGACGAAAAAGATGACAAAAACGAACTCGGCCACTGTTGTTGAGTTTGCAACGCTTGACAATATTTATCAATCCCTGCTTTACCGACATCGATTTTTTTAAATGACGTTATTTACATAGCCTACTAAAATTGACGTTTGATGCATTAAATTGTCAAATTCGACATTACAAGGCCTACTGGTTAACGATCTTTTATCCCTTTCAAAAAGTTTATTTATCTCTTTTCAATTCATTGGTTGAAAAAGGACGAAGACAACTTTGTAATTTAATTTTTTTTTCTTGCATCACCCTGTAAGGAGATATCATCCAATATCGCATTAAGTGAACACCCTGTATATATACGTGATATAAAATTGCATCAAAACTCAGATCAAAAAACCAAACGCACAGTAAATTCAGACCTCGAAGTTGGCCACATTGTCACATTAAAACTTCCAGAAAAAGCAGGATTTTGCTAATTAGGGCATTTAAAACTGAAAATTTTTGTTACAAAATGAAGAAAACTCAAAGCCTCGTACTTTAAATCAGTTTTCCCGCTCGAAAACGGCCTAGAAAAGCGGAAAATCCAAAGAAAAACCAATCAATATAGTATTCGGAAGTCTACTTGATAAAACTTGAATTTTCGTTACTTACCTCTTTGGAAAACTGGAAATTTTTGGCGGAAAATAAAGGAAATTAAAAGCCTGGTATTTTGAACCAGTTTTCCCGACAGGAAAAACGGAAAATTTGTGGAAAAACTGAATAAAATGTAAACACGTCAATTAAAAATGGCCAACTGTCAAAAGAAAAAGTGGCAAATTACATTTCATTATAAGGCATACTTGATTGAAATAGCGACGTTGTCACATCTCAAATAGGAAAAAAAATTATTTTTAATAAAATTTAATGAAAATGACATTCACAGTCCTGTTTGATAATGAGTAGGATAAAGAGGGAAATAAAGTAGGACATAATTTGGGTCTAAAAATGGAAGTTTTTGGTTAAAAAATGAAACAAACTTAAAGCCCTGCCCTTCAAACCACCTTTTTCCGATTAAAAAATCCCTGGAAAAGCAGAAAATCCAAAGAAAAACCAAAATTTCAAAGCCTACTTGATGAAACTAAAGTTTTTCTCACTTACCCCATTAGAAAACTGAAAATGTTTGACACAAAATGTAGGCAATCCAAAGCCTCGTATTTTAAATCGGTTTTTCCGACGGAAAATGCCCTGTAAAATTGGAAAATTCGAGAAAAAACTGGGTAAAAATGTAAACACGTCAATTACCTATATAGACACGTCAAAATAGAAAACCGTTAGGAATGCCATTGGACAGATTTTTTTCACGTGACTTTTGTTGAGTTGGCAACGCTTGACAATATTTATCAATTCCTGCTTTACCGACATCGATTTTTTTTAAATGACGTTATTTACATAGCCTACTAAGATTGACGTTTGATGCATTAAATTGTCAAATTCGACGTTACAAGGCCTACTTGTTAACGATCTTTTATCCCTTTCAAAAAGTTTATTTATCTCTTTTCAATTCATTGGTTGAAAAAGGACGAAGACAACTTCGTAATTTAATTTTTTTTTCTTGCATCACCCTGTAAGGAGATATCGTCCAATATCGCATTAAGTGAACACCCTGTATATATACGTGATATAAAATTGCATCAAAACTCAGATCAAAAAACCAAACGCACAGTAAATTCAAACCTCGAAGTTGGCCACATTGTCACATTAAAACTTCCAGAAAAAGCAGGATTTTGCTAATTAGGGCATTTAAAACTGGAAATTTTTGTTAGAAAATGCAGAAAACTCAAAGCCTCGTACTTTAAATCAGTTTTCCCGCTCGAAAACGGCCTAGAAAAGCGGAAAATTCAAAGAAAAACCAGTCAATATAGCATTCGGAAGTCTACTTGATAAAACTTGAATTTTCGTTACTTACCCCTTTGGCGGAAAATAAAGGAAATTAAAAGCCTCGTATTTTGAACTAGTTTTTCCGACTGGAAAAACGGAAAATTCGTGGAAAAACTGAATAAAATGTAAACACGTCAATTAAAAATGGCCAACTGTCAAAAGAAGAAGTGGCAAATTACATTTCATTATAAGGCATACTTGATTGAAATAGCGACGTTGTCACATCGCAAATAGGAAAAAAAATTATTTTTAATAAAATTTAATGAAAATGACATTCACAGTCCTGTTTGATAGTGAGTAGGATAAAGAGGGAAATAAAGTAGGACATAATTTGGGTCTAAAAATGGAAGTTTTTGGTTAAAAAATGAAACAAACTTAAAGCCCTGCCCTTCAAACCACCTTTTTCCGATTAAAAAGGCCCTGGAAAAGCAGAAAATCCAAAGAAAAACCAAAATTTCAAAGCCTACTTGATGAAACTAAAGTTTTTCTCACTTACCCCATTAGAAAACTGAAAATGTTTGACACAAAATGTAGGCAATCCAAAGCCTCGTATTTTAAATCGGTTTTTCCGACGGAAAATGCCCTGTAAAATTGGAAAATTCGAGGAAAAACTGGGTAAAAATGTAAACACGTCAATTACCTATATAGACACGTCAAAATAGAAAACCGTTAGGAATGCCATTGGACAGATTTTTTTCACGTGACTTTTGTTGAGTTGGCAACGCTTGACAATATTTATCAATCCTTACTTTACCGACATCGATTTTTTTAAATGACGTTATTTACATAGCCTACTAAGATTGACGTTTGATGCATTAAATTGTCAAATTCGACATTACAAGTTTGTTAACGATCTTTTATCCCTTTCAGAAAGTTTATTTGTCTCTTTTCAATTCATTAGTTGAAAAAGGACAAAGACAAACAATTCAAGATTAAGGACACTACTAAATGGTGTTTGCTACCCGCCATTTTCAAGCCTATTAAACTTGTGAATCGACTTGATTTTTGACGAACTATTTTTGTGCAACTGTCAATTTAAAAAAATAATAATAAAACCGTTAAAAATGCAATTGCAAAGACTTTTCTCACGTGATTTTTGTTAGGTTGGCAACGCTGTCAATCACAATATTTATCAATCCCTATTTTACCGACATCGATTTTTTCAAATGACGTTATTTACATAGCCTACTAACATTGACATTTGATACATTAAATTGTCAAATTCGGCCTACTTGTTAATTGTATTTTATCCTTGATCGATTTTAATGTGCGACAAAGTCTGGATTCTGGATCGTCTCATAAAAATCTTCCAATATCGTCGCCCTTTAAAGCCCTACAAAAAAATAGTCGAGAGTTTTATGTGTTTTTTCTCGAGATTAAAGCAATGATCGTAAACTCTCGGAGAAACGTCTGGGCATTGCTCGGAAAACGAATTATTGTTCCAGCCGGTCGTAACTCAATTTCTTTTATATTTTCTGGATGTGAAGGGGTTTAATGAACGAATTTATGTTGGGTTTCAGTTTCAATTTCTTAGAGTTCTTGTAACTGTTATCAAGTTCAATTAACATCTATGCACATTTTTTTCGACAATTGACAGATGGACAATGCTTTATGTGTCAACTGTTAATGCAAAAGTGCAACGGAAATTGAAATGTGACGTCATCGCTAGTAACGATAAAACGATAAAATACAAATGGCTACGATTTCTATAAAATAAAAGACACGTAATTTATGTAAATCGTTCAAAATAAATTGAATTACTCTTCGAGCGAGCCTAGGGAGTTGAACTTTGAGGGTAATTGTCCTTTTCAATGTTGGTTCACTGGCTAGACAACGTGAAGAAATAATACGGCAAAGAGTAATCACCGATAAGTTGAAAAAAGACAAATATACTTTTTTTTTTGTTATTATTCAATATATTTTTCTGGGAAAAAATTAAATTTTTCTCCCTAGGTTAATAATGAAAAAATACCTAGGTCAATAATGAAAATGACGTCATGACGCAAGGATATTGTCATAACGTAACAGGTTTCTATTGGTTTAATTTCAATTTCGAACTGTCAATTTTTGAAAAAAGCAAGTTTCTGTATGTACATTATAGGAAATTACCTTAAGCTGTTGATAGAGGGCAGCACTTTCAATATTCCTCGGTAAAGAAAGTCATTATATAACTGACGCATTATAAACCTCGGCGCGAAGCTCTAATCTATACAAAATTCAATGTCGTAACTTGATTAATAAGAAAGTTGTGACGTTTTTAATTAAACTTGACAGAAATGTTATTGATACAATAAAATATCTGCCATTTTGGTTTAAATGTCAATTATTTATTTATTAAAATGTCAAAAGGTTTGAAAAGTCAAATTCAAATTTTGATTATTCCCGGCTCTTGAAATGTTTGTCTATTATTGTTTGACTTTTTCAATTAATAACATTCACAAGTTGGCAATGCATTTTTTTGTCTATCTCCGTCCTTTTCCAATTCATATTATAAAAAAGAGATAGCTGAACTTTCCAACATAATCCTTAATCAAGTAGCAGCGTTGCCACCTATTTTTAGAGAATCTACTAGCTTCTTTGTCTGAATCTACTAAAAATCTACTGAAACAATTTTGAAAAAAATACCAAAATCTACTTTAAGGAGTTAAAAATGGCTACCGCGGCTACAGTCGTAGTCTTTTATAGCGATTTTAATTTCTGATGAGAATGTATTTCCGTCTTGCTCTTTCTAGCGTGGAATTACCAGAATCTACTAGATTTTCTACTAGAAATTCTGTCTATTAAAATATTACGAAAAAAAGCTGAAAATCTACTAGAAAAGTAGAAATCTACAAAAGGTGGCAACGCTGTCAAGTAGGCCATATATTTGCCCAATCTAATGTCAATAAATGGGCGTTTGTAAGAATCCACCAAATCATACTGTTGTGATATTAGTGTCTTCTTTTTTTATCGATTTTCGTTGGTTCTTTTCTAATCAATAATATTAAAAAGAGACAAATAAACATTTTTAATCAAATTGGCCATGCATTTACAACAACTGTCAAAAGTCAAGGCGTTTTCTAAAATCAACCAAATACATTTTTTTCTTCGATCAAATCGAATAGCGACAATGATAATTCGACAGTGGCAACAATGTAGCCATTTTGTTGGCCATCCTTTTCTAATCAATCACATTGAAAAGAGAAAGATGGACTTTCTGGTAGAAGTTCTCATCAGGTTGGTTATGAATTAACACCAAACAAAAGCTTGAAAATGGCTTCCAAAAGTCACAAATAAATATAGAAAATTCAATTGTCAATAAATCTATACAAAATTCAATGACGTAACTTGATTAATAAGAAAATTGTGAGGTTTTCAAGTTAAAGTTGACAGAAATGTTGTTGGTACAATGAAATATCTGCCATTTTGGTTTCAACGTCAATGTCAATTATTTGTTTATTAAATGTCAAAAGGTTTAAAATGTCAAATTCAAATTTTGATTATTCCTGGCTCTTGAAATGTTTGTCCATTATTGTTTGTCTTTTTTCAATTAATTACATTAAACAAAGACAATCACGAGTTAACAATGAATTTTTTTGTTTTTCTACGCCTTTTTTCAATGAATGATATTGAAAAGAAACGACTAAACTTTCTGAGACAATCCTTCATCAAGTAGGCCATGCATTTGCAACAGCTGTCAAAAGTCAGTAGCAACAATGTAGCCATTTTGTTGACCATCCTTTTTCAATTGGCCACATTAAAAAGAGACAGATAGACTTTCTGGCAGAAATTCTTAACAAGTAGGCTATGGATTTACAGCAGTAAATGCCAACGTCAAAAGTTTCGAAATGACAAATTCAAGTTTTGTTGGAGTCACGAAAAGGCAAGCGATAATTATGTCATTTATTTGTTTTTTTTGTCTTCGTCCAATGTACACGATCAAACAAAGACAGTGGAAAAACGTTTAATCAAGTTGGCCATGTATTTAGGCAGGGAACTGTCAAAAAATAAGTGATTACAAACATCAATCAAAACATAGGGATTTAAAGAAAAATCTAAAGCAGTAATTGAACGTTTTTTTCCTTTTTTTTTAGTCTATATGCGTCCTTTTTCAATCAATAATATTAAAGAGAGACAGATAAATCTTCTGACACAATCGAGTAGGCCGCGCATTTACATAATCAAATGTCGAAAAATGGGCGTTTGCAAAAATTAACCAATAAACCATATCGGTGCCTTTTTTTACCAATTTATGTCGGTCCTTTTCTAATCACTAATATTGAAAAGAGACAAATAGACAGTAATGACAAACTTTTTATCAAATTGGCCATGCATTTTGATGGTGATTGTCCAAGGATGATACAGGATAGCCTATCCTCATAGAGCCTGAGTGTAACAAATCCGCCCCTCCGCCAAATTACCAGTTGTGACGTATATAGCACGTTATTCCTCGCCTTCACGTAGGCTGTTTAAACAGCTGACGACTTAGTTATGACTCAAACAGCTGACGACTTAGTTATGACGTCGGAAATGGTATCACACCAATATGGCGGCGAATATAAAATTCCCTGGTTTATACTGACCATTTTAAAGGAGCCTTAACGATAAGTATTCTTTAAAGTGACATTTCTCCGTGTTTAAGGAATACTTATGCTAAAGCATCTTTAAAATGGTCGGTACAAATCAAGGATGATACACACCATACAGAAATGCTTATCGACCTCGTTTTTGGTAATCACCGCCATATTAGTGTGCCACCATTTCCGACGTCATAACTAAGTCGTCAGCTGTTCAAACAGTCTATGTCAAGGCGAGAAATAACATGCTACCTACGTCACAACTGGTAATTTGGCGAAGGAGAGGATTTGTTCCACACAGCCCTTATGAAAATAGACTATCCTGTAGTAGTAGTAGTAGTTGTATGTATTATCCTTGGCTGCAAACGGCTTTTATTGATAAGTGACATTGTTTATCTGTCAATAGGCGGTCCGCATAATCACGATCCATCCGAACCGCTCCGATCCAACCCGGAACTCGGCCATTGCCCGATCACCAATAAAATGTCAACTGCATCAAACACTAGCGAATCACGACGTCAGTTTTTGGCACCGTTGACAGCTTGCGTCACTATGAGCGTGGCTCACACTGACGACTACTATTATCAACTGAGTAACAACCAGTACTACCCTGGCGATCGGATTTCGGTGGCAAGTTCAGGTACTGAGTACAGCTTGGAGGACATTGATGACGGACTACGGCACGAGGATGAGGAACGCAAAAGAATCGCACCGGATGTACTTGTTGGGACGCCATCTGCATCCGAGTCCGGTGATGAACTCGCAATGTTTGTGCAACAAGATGCCGGCAGAATGGAGCGGATCAAGAAAAAGTAAGCATTGATAAATTGATTTAATTGACATCAAATGTCATTTGTCATTTAGATATCAGCCAGTGGACAATAATAAAAAATGCGACGACGAAGACGATGAACATGACGATTACGGGTTCAATAGGAGGCCCAATGTGCGCGGCATTAAACCTCGATTCAGTACCACTACTGAAATATTGCAACAAATTCAAAATCAGCTACAACCGCCCGCACCGCCATCTACACGGGTAAGTTAGAAGTTTATGTATTATGTCCTCATTAGGTCCTCCTGATGACGTCATTTTCTTATTATTACCAGAAATCTTAGTTAAAGTCTAATATTTGTTGTAGGTTGCCTGGCCTCCATACTATTCGGAAAACAATCCAACTGACAATAAACAACAACCGAAAACATCTACTGGTAACTACGCATACGTCACTGTAACCGACAATGACGTAAAAACGCGCATTTACCCGCCACAACAATATCGACCAACCTCATTGCAACAAGAAGAGAGTATGTATCAGAACTGTGCCAATCAAAGATGCGTTTCTAGAGAAGTTTATCAGAGGTAAAAAAAATTTAGAATAATATTGACAGTTGACAGATAAGTTAATAAATTTTAGACCAAATTCCGAGGTTTATTCTTCCGTAATCAGAATGGGCAACGATTGCTACCAATCGTTACCGGTGAACAGGCAACGTCACGATCGCCCCCACTCGCCGCCGCCCATGGACATGTCAAAACAGTACCACCAAACCATGGTCTATATCCCGTACAATCACATCGACGGGTACCAACCGGTCCAGTACTACCACAGCGATTACGTAGCCCGAGTGTCCAATCAAAATCAGATAAACAAACGCTACGTCGAACCTGTTTATCAGTCAAGAGTTGCCGCGCAGGCGCACCATCACCATCTTGAAGAGCATCATTATAATCCCAAAGTAAATAGGATTCCTTATAATAATGGACAAATTCCAGTGGTGCAACATGTAATGGCAGGTGGCAGGAGTGAATCACCGTTACCAGGTAAGAACTGTCAATAATTCTTCAAAATGGCCACTTTCCAAGGCCTACTTTGATGTTTGAATTTTTGAAACTTATACATAAAGGGTTAGTGAAAAGTACTGCAACGATGAGGGGTAAGTTAAAGCACTAAAAAGAAAAGTTCTTTGTGTCTCAGTGTCTCTTTCTGTTTCATTTATTGTAACGAGTATGACAGAGACAGGTATTACCGTTTAATATTCGTTTTTTATCATAAATTTTTGCATTCACATATTGAAAAAGCTAAATGAGTGACGCAGATTTGATTTCGTAACTAACTTCATTTTTATCGGATTTCGTAGGGAGGACGAAAATGGCTGACATATGAATTGAGTAGATCAAAGCGGTATAAAGAAAACTTCTTTATCGGCACACTTTACTTATCAGGGTCTTTTTCTGTCTTATTTATTGTAATGAGTATGACAGAGACAGATATTACCGTATCATAATTAAACACACTCTTGAGTTTTATTGAATTTTGTAGAAAGGATGAAAATGGCTGACACATATAAATATCAATCCATTGATGGCCATTTGCACGGCTATCACTTAACTATCACTTAAGGGATATTTAATGTAAGTGGAGCTTTCAATGTGACTTTTGTTTCTACAAGAGTCACATTCAAAGCTTCACTTGGATTAAATATCCCTTAAGTTATAGTGGTGCAAATGGCTGTGAGTAAGTCAACGTGGTAAAAAGAAAACTTGTCTATCGGCACATTTCACTTATTAGTGTCTCTTTCTATCTTATTTATTGTAACGAGTAGGACAGAGACAGCTCGAAAAAGCTTAATGTCTTCATTGAAATTCATCAGAGAGAGAGAGAGAGAGACGGATTTGATTTCCTAAATAATTTCATTTTTATCGGATCTTGTAGGAAGGACAAATATGGCTGACGTATTAGTCCAGGAGGTGGCGTCAAAAACATGCAAGAGTTTTCGCAAGGCGGATATTTTCAACGTAGGTCGTACTTTAGTGCTAGAATGCTAGTGTACAGTCAGCACTCACACTTCCGGGACAGCTGGCTCTGGGACGCGGGCAAAGTTGTAATTTTAAGAAGCATCTAAACTGTTTTCTCAAAGCTCAAACTTTATAGAAATTTTGCACATTATCTGTTTGAAGGTCACAGATAACGTATGTAAATCGTCAGACGTCTAGTTCGTTGCAAAAAGGGGGTCAGACGTCCTCAAAGTTTTTATTTTATGGCATTTTCTTCAAATATATTTGTCAAATACCTGCAAAAATATATTTTGACAGGACACCGAAGAAAATGCCATAAAATAAAAACTTTGAGGACGTCTGACCCCCTTTTTGCAACGAACTAGACGTCTGACGATTTACATACGTTATCTGTGACCTTCAAACAGATAATGTGCAAAATTTCTATAAATTTTGAGCTTTGAGAAAACAGTTTAGATGCTTCTTAAAATTACAACTTTGCCCACGCCCCAGAGCCAGCTGTCCCGGAACTGTGAGTGCTGACTGTACACTAGCATTCTAGCACTAAAGTACGACCTAATTTGAAAATATCCGCCTTGCGAAAACTCTTGCATGTTTTTGACGCCAGCTCCCCAACTATATCAATCAATTAAGGTTGAAGCGGTTAATGAAAACTTCTTTATTGGCACTCTCTACTTATCAGTGTCTCTTTCTGTCTTATTTATTGTAACGAGTATGACAGAGACAGGTATTGTCGTATATAACCGCACCTTGTCATAAATTTCTGCTTTTACATGAAATTCATCACAGACTAGGGAGGACGAAAATGGCTGACATTAATTGAGTAAATCAGAGCGGTACGAAAAACACTTCTTTATCGATACATCTCACTTATCAGTGTCTCTTTCTTTCTGATTCATTGTAACGAGTAGGAGAGAGACAAGTATTACCGTATCAAAACTTAACACACTCTTGATTTTTATCGAATTTTGTAGGAAGGACGACGTATCGAGTAAATCAACGTGATAAAAAGAAAACTTCTTTATCGGCACACTTTACTTATCAGTGTCTCTTTCTGTCTTATTTATTGTAACGAGTATGACAGAGACACGTATTGCCATATCATAACCGCACCTTATCATAAATCTCCGCATTTACATGAAATTCATTACAGCGTAAAGCCTAGTACTCATAACTGCGAAATTCGCACTTTTTTGACATTGCTTCGACAATTTGACGTTTGACTCACGCATAAAACGTCAATTTGTCGAAGCAATGTCAAAAAAGAGCAAATTTCGCTGTTATGAGTACTAGGCTTAGGGATGGCGAAAATGACTGATGTATCAATTGAGTAAGTCAAAGCGGTATAAAGAAAACTTCTTTATCGACACATCTCACTTATCAGTGTCTCTTTGTGTCTGATTCATTGTAACGAGTAGGAAAGAGACAAGTATTACCGTATCAAAACTAAACATATATCAATATCAATCAATTGAGTAAGTCAATGTGGTTAAAAGAAAACTTCTTTATCGGCATACTTCATTTATCAAGGTTTCTTCTTATTTTAATTATTGTAATGAAAAGGACAGTGACAGTGTAGGTATCATAATGCAGTGTTGTCATATTTCAGCAACTAGTAGAGATAAAATTCTGAAAATTTGGAATTTCATCAAATTTGGTACGCCCAATGCATTGCAATAAAAATAAATGGGGCATTCCTTTCAAAATAACAAAAAAAACTACGTGTAGCGCAAAACTGGGAAATCTGGCAACATTGCCGATGGTACTGTTTAATTCCATGCCCAAAAATTGTCAGAGTCCGAATTGTGTGAACACAGCTTAAGCGGCTCTGAAGATATTTAAGCGTTGCAGTATTTTTTACTAACAACCTTGTATTTCAAGATACTTTGATGTTTGACTTGTACCGAGTATCAAGTTATAAAGTACCACCACCTGTTATTTTTTTATGTACCATCAAAAATCAAAAAGTTACAGGTAGTGGTACTTTATAACTTGACACCCTATACATATACATAAAAATTCTTAGGTCAATTCTCCACTGCGCGTTCGACGCAAACTCCTGCGGCAACGGTGGGTACTTGCGGCGCTTATTACCCCGCACCGCCGCGTTACCGGCCGGTATACCAACAACCGGGCGACCAATCAAACTACGCCAAACTCACCAACCGACACAGTTTTCCTAGATACCCGCCCGCTGACAGTATTTCGTTGACAGATAGCGACAGTCAGCACAGCGCTAGTGGGTCGCTGCAAAACGGCTACCGGCAATCGGATTTGACGTTGTACGCGTCCAAAGACTCGCCTACTAAGCCTCGGTTTATAGAGCGTGGGGTGCCAGAGGGCGCTGCTAGCGTTTCACCACAAGACGTATCCGGTAAGAATTTAAAAAAAATATATGTTGGTAATATATTGACACATTGATGTTAGGTGTGGTGACGTCGCCTCAAAATCCAGAAGTGCCGACCAATCAGAAGGCAATGTTTTACGCCATGAACGTCTGAATTGGGAATTTTCTATTTGAGGTTTAAGGCTGTTTTTGTGATGCACACAAGAGGAAAATTTGTTGAAACATTACAGTTGTCATTTATTGTCTCTCTTCTAAAGGGGTGCTGCAATATGTGTCTAACAAAGAAAGAAATCTATTGTAAATATCTCGTGTACCAAAAAAAAATTAGTAATTTACTTCTTGTAGGTTATAATAACCGTTATTATTGCACTTTTCTCAATTTTAGCTCGCTAATGGCGAATTTTGAAAAGTGCGCCCTCTGTTGGCAGAAAGATTGATTGATAATACATGTTTTATTGATAGTTAACGTTTAAATATTGAAAAAATGCGTGTACTTACTTGAAAAACTGTTACATTTATTTGAATTATGTATTACAATATTTTAGTGACGTCACGTTATAAAACTGTCATCAAAATGACTTCTATTTATTATGATTAGGGCTAATACTATAACTTCACTTGTCATAATTTATGTTTGACGTATTGATATTACGATTATGACGTCACCAACAGTACACCTCTGTACTTTTTTTTATTGTGTTTTGATGTGCTTTTTTTTTACCAAAAAGTAGCTTCTTTTGGGTTTTTCTTCTTTTAAATAATATAAAGTTGTTTAGGAAAAGTAAGTAGTTATTGACATTGTTGCCAAATAAATTTAAAAAAATTGAAGAGATTCCAATAATACCAAAGTATTAATAGGATTAGGGTAAGATTTAAGTGTTGATTGACCAAATAATAAAATTTAAAAAAAAATATATATTAATTTTTGTTGATCTGATGTTTATAGATAAATATTTATTTTTTTCTGTTATTTGATTGAATCTCAATATATTATATACACAGGGTGATCTAATTTTTTTTCTTCAAATCAACAATGTATATGTGATTATATTGAAATTAATAAGTAGAGAAAAATTACACAATATTTTATTGTAGAAATTATAATACAATATATCAGTATTTATTGAAGAAAAAATACAAAGTGAGAATTTAGAAGAAAAAAAAAAACGGTCTAAATGTAATTTTTGTATTAAATAAAATAATATAGAAAAAATTATATACAGTAGTAGAATAATTGCAAGGGATTTGTGAATTGATTTTATTTTTGGGGAATTTCAAAGGATATTGACAACACTGTTTAAGTTTATTATTATTTAGTATTTTGTACAAGTAGGCCAAATATTTATTTGTAAAACCCTTTAAACAAACAAAAAAAAAAAATGACATTAATAAATAATAATTGTATACCGAGTTTTAATAATTTTATTTAAGTCTAGTTCACATAGAGCCAAAAAATAAAGTTAGGGCAAGTTTTTAAAATCATCAATGGCACATGCGCATTTTCACCGATGTATTGTTGTCCTTGTCATTTGACAGTAGCAAAACAAGGATAGGTTGCCCATCAGTAGAAATGCGCAGAAGTAATCGATGAATTTAAAAACTTGCCCTTACTGTTTTGCCGCCAAAAGAAATTTAAAAAGAAAAAAGTCATTCGCTCAATGTCAACTAATTGCCTTTGAAAAATGACGTCCACTGAATGGAACACAAAATAGTTGTACTTGGCAAATGACGTTCACTGAATGCACCAAAAATTTGCTTTTGAAAAGTGATGTCCATTGAATGCATCATCACAAAAAAGAAGAGTGTAAAATAGAATTTTTATTTAACAATGACAAGTGACTTAATTAAAATAGAATTCTATTTATCTTTGCAGCTGCCGGATTTTAGTTTACGAGTCCAGTCGAAATTCGTATCGAATTATCATAATAGCGATTCTATTTTACGATATTTCGATATGTATTCCACGGTACGTCCGGAGCTGTTGTATTCGATATCGAGACAATTCGACACGACTCGTAAAAAATTGTGTTCAGAACTGTTCTGGGATAATCAAATCATTCTTAGAACAGTTTTGAATCAACTGCCAGTGCACACAGAACTATTTTATAACAATTCAAAATAAATTCTGATTTGAATTATATTGTTCGAACTGTTCTAATTCTGTTCCATTTGCACTAACTCTAAGTATTCTAACTTATTGACGTCATCATCAGTGCGTTTCTTGTATTTTTGATGGCCAAATGCCTGGAATATATTTAAAAAAATAATAATAATAGATAATGGATTTCCACCAAGTAAAAGCCGATTCAATCAAAATTGAATTTTGTTGTTCGAACTGTTCTAATTCTGTTCCATTTGCACTAACTCTAAATATTCTAACTTATTGACGTCATCATCAGTACGTTTCTTGTATTTTTGATGGCCAAATGCCTGGAATATATTTAAAAAAAATAAATTTTCCATCTAATTTAGTGACGTCATCATCAGTACTCACATTGGAAACTCTCTCCTCTAATTAAATTACTTTTGAGCTCTTGGGCACTTTTAAATAATCCTGTTTTAAGTTCAGAGCAGTTTTCAAACGATTCTGAGACAATATGTGATTGTTCTAGAATAATCTGGAGTAGGTGCAGTTCGGAACTGTTTATATAAAAAAAAAAATGTGTTCAGAATTGTTCTGGGATGATCAAATCATTCTTAGAACAGTTTTGAATCAACTGCCAGTGCACACAGAACTATTTTATAACAATTCAAAATAAATTCTGATTTGAATTTTGTTGTTCGAACTGTTCTAATTCTGTTCCATTTGCACTAACTCTAAGTATTCTAACTTAATGACGTCATCATCAGTACGTTTCTTGTATTTTTGATGGTCAAATGCCTGGAATATATTTAAAAAAATAATAATAATAGATAATGGATTTCCACCAAGTAAAAGCCGATTCAATCAAAATTGAATTTTATTGTTCGAACTGTTCTAATTCTGTTCCATTTCCACTAACTCTAAGTATTCTAACTTAATGACGTCATCATCAGTACGTTTCTTGTATTTTTGATGGTCAAATGCCTGGAATATATTTAAAAAAATAATAATAATAGATAATGGATTTCCACCAAGTAAAAGCCGATTCAATCAAAATTGAATTTTATTGTTCGAACTGTTCTAATTCTGTTCCATTTCCACTAACTCTAAGTATTCTAACTTATTGACGTCATCATCAGTACGTTTCTTGTATTTTTGATGGCCAAATGCCTGGAATATATTTTAAAAAAAATACATTTTCCATCTAATTTAGTGACGTCATCATCAGTACTCACATTGGAAACTCTCTCTAACTCCAATTAAATTAATTTTGAGCTCTGGGGCACTTTTAAATAATCCTGTTTTAAGTTCAGAGCAGTTTTCAAACGATTCTGAGACAATATGTGATTGTTCTAGAATAATCTGGAGTAGGTGCAGTTCGGAACTGTTTATAAAAAAAAAAAATGTGTTCAGAACTGTTCTGGGATGATCAAATCATTCTTAGAACAGTTTTGAATCAACTGCCAGTGCACACAGAACTATTTTATAACAATTCAAAATAAATTCTGATTTGAATTTTGTTGTTCGAACTGTTTTAATTCTGTTCCATTTGCACTAACTCTAAATATTCTAACTTATTGACGTCATCATCAGTACGTTTCTTGTATTTTTGATGGCCAAATGCCTGGAATATATTTAAAAAAAATAAATTTTCCATCTAATTTAGTGACGTCATCATCAGTACTCACATTGGAAACTCTCTCCTCTAATTAAATTACTTTTGAGCTCTTGGGCACTTTTAAATAATCCTGTTTTAAGTTCAGAGCAGTTTTCAAACGATTCTGAGACAATATGTGATTGTTCTAGAATAATCTGGAGTAGGTGCAGTTCGGAACTGTTTATAAAAAAAAAAATGTGTTCAGAACTGTTCTGGGATGATCAAATCATTCTTAGAACAGTTTTGAATCAACTGCCAGTGCACACAGAACTATTTTATAACAATTCAAAATAAATTCTGATTTGAATTTTGTTGTTCGAACTGTTTTAATTCTGTTCCATTTGCACTAACTCTAAGTATTCTAACTTATTGACGTCATCATCAGTGCGTTTCTTGTATTTTTGATGGCCAAAAGCCTGGAATATATTTTAAAAAAATACATTTTCCATCTAATTTAGTGACGTCATCATCAGTACTCACTTTGGAAACTCTCTCTAACTCCAATTAAATTACTTTTGAGCTCTTAGGCACTTTTAAATACTCCTGTTTTAAGTTCAGAGCAGTTTTCAAACGATTCTGAGACAATATGTGATTGTTCTAGAATAATCTGGAGTAGGTGCAGTTCGGAACTGTTTATAAAAAAAAAAAATGTGTTCAGAACTGTTCTGGGATGATCAAATCATTCTTAGAACAGTTTTGAATCCACTGCCAGTGCACATAGAACTATTTTATAACAATTAGAAATAAATTCTGATTTGAATTTTGTTGTTCGAACTGTTCTAATTCTGTTCCATTTGCACTAACTCTAAGTATTCTAACTTATTGACGTCATCATCAGTACGTTTCTTGTATTTTTGATGGCCAAATGCCTGGAATATATTTTAAAAAAATACATTTTCCATCTAATTTAGTGACGTCATCATCAGTACTCACATAGGAAACTCTCTCCTCCAATCAAATTACTTTTGAGCTCTGAGACAATATGTGATTGTTCTAGAATAATCTGGAGTAGGTGCAGTTCGGAACTGTTTATAAAAAAAAAAAAAATGTGTTCAGAACTGTTCTGGGATGATAAAATCATTCTTAGAACAGTTTTGAATCCACTACCAGTGCACACAGAACTATTTATAACAATTCAAAATAAATTCTGATTTGAATTTTGTTGTTCGAACTGTTCTAATTCTGTTCCATTTGCACTTACTCTAAGTATTCTAACTTATTGACGTCATCATCAGTACGTTTCTTGTATTTTTGATGGCCAAATGCCTGGAATAAAAAAATAAAATATTACCATTTTCTATTCAATTTAGTGACGTCATCCTCAGTACTCACATTAGAAACTCCCTCTAAAGCCTAGTATTTATAACTGCGAAATTCGCTTTTTTTTGACATTGCTTCGACAATTTGACGTTTGATGAGCAATTTTTAAACGATTCTTGGCACTGTTTATAGAAAAAAAAATATGTTCAGAACTGTTCTGGGATGATAAAATCATTCTTAGAACAGTTTTGAATCAACTGCCAGTGCACACAGAACTATTTTATAACAATTCAAAATAAATTCTGATTTGAATTTTGTTGTTCGAACTGTTCTAATTCTGTTCCATTTGCACTTACTCTAAGTATTCTAACTTAATGACGTCATCATCAGTACGTTTCTTGTATTTTTGATGGCCAAATGCCTGGAATATATTAAAAAAAAAAAACATTTTCCATCTAATTTAGTGACGTCATCATCAGTACTCACATTGGAAACTCTCTCTAACTCCAATTAAACTACTTTTGAGCTCTGGGGCACTTTTAAATAATCCTGTTTTAAGTTCAGAGCATTTTTCAAACGATTCTGAGACAATATGTGATTGTTCTAGAATAATCTGGAGTAGGTGCAGTTCGGAACTGTTTAAAAAAAAAAAAAAATGTGTTCAGAACTGTTCTGGGATGATCAAATCATTCTTAGAACAGTTTTGAATCAACTGCCAGTGCACACAGAACTATTTTATAACAATTCAAAATAAATTCTGATTTGAATTTTGTTGTTCGAACTGTTCTAATTCTGTTCCATTTGCACTTACTCTAAGTATTCTACCTTATTGACGTCATCATCAGTGCGTTTCTTGTATTTTTGATGGCCAAATGCCTGGAATATATTAAAAAAAAAAAACATTTTCCATCTAATTTAGTGACGTCATCATCAGTACTCACATTGGAAACTCTTTCTAACTCCAATTAAATTAATTTTGAGCTCTGGGGCACTTTTAAATAATCCTGTTTTAAGTTCAGAGCAGTTTTCAAACGATTCTGAGACAATATGTGATTGTTCTAGAATAATCTGGAGTAGGTGCAGTTCGGAACTGTTTATAAAAAAAAGAAAATGTGTTCAGAACTGTTCTGGGATGATCAAATCATTCTTAGAACAGTTTTGAATCCACTACCAGTGCACACAGAACTATTTTATAACAATTCAAAATAAATTCTGATTTGAATTATGTTGTTCGAACTGTTCTAATTCTGTTCCATTTGCACTAACTCTAAGTATTCTAACTTATTGACGTCATCATCAGTACGTTTCTTGTATTTTTGATGGCCAAATGCCTGGAATATATTTTAAAAAAAATACATTT